TTGACAATGGCGCCAAGATGTCGCCGAAACGTCGGATTTATCTATCGTTAGTTTTTGCCTGTATAAATCATCATGTAGGTGACAAAATTTTTCAAAAATAGTGAATTCAAATCAATCTCTATTTAATGCTTTTGAAGCCAAGTTTCAAAGTCCAAATTGAGAGTACTGGTATTTATTAATTTATTTTAATTAATAATTTATAGTAATATTAACAATTTGAGTACAGAACCACTGTGAATACTAGTTAAACAACCACAAAGGAGTGACATTTTAGATGGTGGCCTACAGGAGGGGTGATAGCACAAGAAGTACATATTAAGAATGAACAATGATTTGTTTTGTTCTATAGCCTGATAAGCCACTAATGGTGGCAGAATTTTGGCCAGGATGGTTTGATCATTGGGGTGAACAGCATCACAAGATGGAGGTGAAGAAAGTGAAAGAAAGAGTATCAAACATACTGAGAGCCGGAGCCTCTATTAACTTCTACATGTTTCATGGTAGGTTGGACACCAGTAGCCTGATTTAGTGGCATGATCTCAGATCTTCTCACTTTCTTCTGTTCAAGCTGACTGTTTGACATTTTTCAGTTTGATGAACCTATCAGAACAGGCTAAACTAGTATGATATATTAAAAATTATATGGTTGAACCTCCTTTAAGAGGCCACCTATTGAGTGGGCTACCCCTTATTAATGGGCTTGTTTACAAAGTCCCAAAGGTATAGTCAGTAAAATACAGTAAATAGAACCTTTGTTAACCAGTCACTTCTATTAAGCAGCCATGGCCACCTGNCACAATTGGAACCTCTTGTAAAGCGATAGCTCTTATACACAAATAAACACTTCAGTCTGTTTTCACTAGTTTGTATTGGAAGGAGATTTTTAGGAACATTCTCTAAGTTGCTGACTCCTGGTGGTCCGTTTTACTATATGTTGAAAACACTTACTGGAATATGGCAGATCAATTCTTATAATAACGTTCTTAGTGTATAGACAGGTTCTTGACTTTTACAGCGAATCAGTAGTACAGATGCGTCCTATATTTAATGACAGGTAGATTTGTTACTAAAATTCAACTTTTTTATTTTCGATTTGTTGTAGGTTTTCCTTGACTTCAAACTGATCCACACAATTGACGCAATGAAACGAGATAAACATTACATTGACGAAAAAGAGCTTTGGAAAGTGACAATAAAACTCGATCACCAAAAACGCAGTGAAAAGGTGATAAACTTAGTTCATTACCCTAGTTTATGTTGTTCTTTGTTCTTCTTGACGGTGACTTCTGTACAGTTTATAGCGGAGCTCCAGCGGCCCTTTGGGCCGCCAAGCGGAGAACCATACTCATATAGGAAAGAAAAGAAAACCAATGAATGGATAATCTCATGGTTATCATGGCTATCAGTTTCCTTCTTAATGTTT